AATCGATTACAATCGCTCGAAGACCCTCAAACGACTTACGCTCGCAAACTCATGCTCACACGAAGCATTTCGTTACGTGATCTTTACGTCATCTCACACCCTCCCCTACTATATATAATGTCTTCCAAGGCAGTTCTACCAATCTTTAGAATCGCCAGGTTGCTCAGGCTAGTGGAATTCGTCAAGGGTATTCGTCAACTGTTGTGGGCTCTCATGATATCGCTACCAGCACTCTTCAACATTGGAACTCTACTCTTCATGGTCATGTTTATTTACGCCATCATAGACATGTCGGCGTTTGGTCACGTGAAGCGCGAAGGTGAGTTAAATGACACTGTAAACTTCGAGACCTTTTTTTCTTCACTGCTGTTGCTGTTTCGTCTGGCTACTGGCTCTGGATGGAATGACATCATGGAAGCCTTGTTACTGGAACCACCAGACTGTGATCCCAGCTACCTCAATCTTCCCCATGGTAACTGTGGCTCGTTTGGCGCTGTGGTTTACTTGGCTAGCTACATCATAGTAGTGTTTCTTGTCATTGTAAACACGTACGTTGCTATCATTTTGGAAAACGTAAATCGTGCTCAACGAGATCGAGGATTTCTGTATCACTAAATTCTGAACCACGAGAATAAGTGGAACTATTTATGCAAATACTTTGGGACAAGGCAAACAATCATATCAAAAACATTAATCATTAATAACGCACAAACTAAAGGTCATGTAAGTATGATCTACTCTGGTGTTACAGCGTATTTCAGCCAGCTTCATTGCGGCGATGATCTAACAAATGCGTTTCCAAAAATCAGCTCTCATATATTTTTATTAATTGCAATTGGGAAGATTAGTCTAGTATTTAACCCAAAATAATAAAAGGGTCCCTCGCTTTTTGTCCTTTAAGTTCATGAAAACAAATAGTTTGCTTATTTTCAAAAGCAACATTTTGAATGAGATTAGGGCTAGTAAACACTTTTAGAAAACATTTTTGGTCCTGTTTCTTTATACGGTTAGTATCAAGATGACTTTTATTCTGACCTGTGTAATAGTGTGACCTGTAAAAAATACCTGCCTTATGTTGTACAGGGTGAAATACATAGATTTGTCTTTCAAATGAAAGTTTCTCATCAACTTTATGTAGTAAATATCTACACATATTTATACCGAGGGTTTCCCAGTCGTCACTGATTTGGATTGGGATTTAAATGATTCTTTCATCTCGGCGGTCAAAAAGCATGACTAGCTACGTAGGAAAACCTGCTATATTAAAAAAATTTAAATACGGAAGAAAGTGAAATTTTTGTTGTCTAAGTTATCGATTCTGCATTACTACTGATGACGAAGCGTTAAATTCGAGTATTACAGTAAAATTCGGCAACGTGTGATGAATTGAACCTGGCAATTTAAAGAACAACACTAGCGCAGAGTACACGTAATAAAGGCTAATTTTCTATCACATTTGTCAGGAGAATTCGTGATTTTCTTCAAGCTGCTTATGACCCTGATAATTTTTAACACTCTCTTCAAGGGCTGATACAAATTTTTGCAGATTATACAACAAGATGAAAGATTTGATGGTGGTTGCTCTGGTGTTTGCTCTCCTCTGCTTTACTGTGAACGCAAAACATAAAAGTGAACAGCAGGCTGAATACGTCATACTGTTTGACGCAGGTTCCAGTCGAACCCGTATGTTAATCTACCAGTTCCCGGAAAGCGGAAAATCCTTAAAAGCCCCTGATGTGAAAGAGCTTGATCCTTCCCCGAGCAAAATATAACCTGGTATTTCAGAACTTGCTGACGACCCTTCTCAAGTCGAAGCCTACATGATGCCACTATTGGAGTCAGCCAAGAAGACCATTCCACAAGACAAGCAATCGTCAACTCCAATATATTTGTTGGCTACAGCTGGAATGAGGCTCGTTCCTACAGATCAAGCAAACGCCATATTAGATGAAGTTAGAAAACTGTTTCACGATAAGGCTAAATGTCCATTTTTATTCCAAGAAGATGTAGATGTTAGAATCATTTCTGGAACAGCAGAAGGACTTTATTCTTGGATAACTGTCAATTTTTTGACGGGCATTTTTGGTGCAAATCAAGCCTCTTATGGTAGTTTAGATTTGGGAGGGGCATCGCACCAAAATACTTTAGATTTGAAAGGGAAAAAGAATCCTGAAACGTTTTCCATTTCAGTGGCAGGAAAAAACTATAACGTTTTTGCTCGTAGTTATTTAGGTTTCAAGGAATCACTAGAATTTAATGGCCAGGCACGTGTTTTTGAAGGCACAGCTCAGGTTGAGGTCTGTAAGGATAAAATCCGTAATTTATTTTTTTGTCGTTCGCCAGATTTGAAGAAGTGTCCTTTCTCTAACCAACCCAAATTAAGAGGCAAATTCTATGGGTTTTCAGCGTTATATTATGCTTTAACAGACATAAACGCGGTTTGTTCTGATTGCCAAAACAATTTCGTCACCCCAGGGAAAACTGACATACATCTGAAATCATTTTGTGGCGAAATTTACGATGAGATAAAGAAGCTTAAGAACTGTTATAGCGGGGATAGGTGTTTTAGTGCTAACTATATTTATGAGTTGTTAACCGCCGGTTACAGGTTGAATCTTAAAAATAAAATCAGGATCGCTAATTCACTGAACGGGTTTGACCTGGATTGGAAAATGGGCGCTGTGCTCCATAACGCTAGAATCTTAAAAATTAAAGGCATATCAAAAAAATAGCTTTCCCGGAAAGAAAATCTAAGGACGTCCACAGACGACAGTAGAGAAATGTCTTAGTTTTAATTTATTCCGTTTTGTCTGTTCTGTGTCTAAACTGAGTTTATGTAAAAGAGTCGATGAAACAGAAATAAACTTATCTGCTAAGGGCACCCAACGTTGTTTAATCATTTGATATATTTGTTCTTCAGTCCCATTATCGTGGGAAAACGGATTCAATTTTGTTCAACAAGTTCTCTAGAGTGCTCGCAGGCCATTCAACAAACGCCCCTTTTACAAAACTTTGGAGAAAAGGGAGAGCGCTTATTTAAAGGGCGCTAACTTAGTCATTTACCCAACTGAAAGGCTGAAACTTTTGGTTAGTGAAAATTAACATCTGAATAAAAATTTAAAAACTATAAAATATTTAGAAATAAAAAAATGTATATTTTTATATTCACAAGACTTTAAGTTCAGTTCAAGTGTTCCAAAAAGCGTTAGCAACAGAAGAACGGGTATTTCAAGCGATTTAACCACAATTCTGTCCGTTATTAAATTTATGGCGAGAACGCACTGCAGTTCTTTATGGAGTGATATCAGGCGGCATATCAAGATTTCCGTCCACCAACTGTTTCATAGTCCAGTCCAGTATATTCTTTCTCGCAAGCTGGCCGTTGCAAAGAGCAACTCAGAAATGGGCCGATTGGAAATACAGTACCTGGTTACAGGAAAAACTTGCAACATATATTCATCTCAACAGACTCCTTAGAACCACAAAATGTTCCCTCTTTTGTTATTTAAATTGGTTTAGTTTAAGTATGAAACGGTCGACAGTGCCATGAATGTGGTTCAAAACGCAGGTTAAACTAGAAATACGGGTTAAAAACTAAGACAGATGTGATGTTCTGGTAACTTACGATAAAAGGTTAAGTCGTGGTTAAATCCAGCAAAAAAATATACAGGTTTTATGTAAATAAAGTCCTGGTACCTGAGAGTATCCAATTTAGTCATATTTCTTCAATAAGGTAGGTTACCCTGGTGGCTATCCAATATACAACATACACTTCACACCGAATTTTGGTTTTTGTTTGATTGTTTGCTTTTTTGCTTTTGTTTCTTTTTTGCTTAGGCTTCATCTAGGAATATAACTGCGTAATCTATAGCTGCATGTTTAAGACCCTATAGAGGGCGAATTAAAAGTTTTCTATAACTTTTTCTGATGTGCACTAGTCTTAATATGACATCTACCAGTAAGGTGGGAGGGTCTCATCTATTGTTGTATAATCCATTTCTTTTATTCCAATAGACACAACACGTAATTCAATTCAGGGTCATTTATTAAATTTAAGTACTTATGTCCTGATCTTTTCCATTGACTTACTTTCATTCTTACCTATTTTAATTAAAGCGACATGAAAAGAGCATTGTTGCCTGAAAATATCAAATTTTCTCATATTTGTTCAAGGGGACAGGTTGCCGCGGTAGTGTTTCAACGTACCTCGTGTGGCCAGGGTTCGAGTCTTTGACCTTAGCAGGCTTGCACGTGTGAACAAGATAAACGAAATGTGAAGTTAAACTGTTATTAACAGGTTTATCGGTAAGAAGGCGACCCCCATTTGCAAAATTCATTCTTAACTTTATTTTCTGAGTTACGTACACGTCCGAAAGTAAACCAATTTAAAACCATTATAATTATAATAATAAACAGCCAAAATTGTCTCTCAAATAGTAACAGGCGTTTATATGTGAATTCAAAAGACGACACAAAAATAATTATGGTGGATGTTTTAGAAAACACCCGTTAAAAATGGCTTAAATATGGCTGGCTTACAATGCTTTAAGAACATTTGCAAACGAAAAATTACGTTTCCATGAAAACACCCCTTCTGTGATCTTAAAAGGGACTCCCATGTTAATGTGACGAAGATGCTTGTCGGAAAATTAAAATTGAACCCCTAACGGAGACCAATGTGGGCATGGCTTAAACATGAAACTACACTTTATACCCCTAAGCGAAACGACGAGCATCCCTGCCACTTTTATGTGGGAGTTCCCTCCGGGGGGTGAACTCCGAATCAATTAACTTTCTCTTTGTGCCGATATTTTGCCTTTGCTGTCTTGTTTGGATGTACTCTCATTACTCACAATCGTATTTTTATGAATATAAAGGGCTTTTGGCTAAAAAAGGACTTTCAGAAGAATATACTACTATTACTATTAGTCCTTGTAGTATGCAGGACGTGTTTGTCACGTGAATCTACAGTAGCTTAGTGACCTTAGCTCCCCGACAAGTCTCTTGTAGCTGAGTGGTAGAGAATCTGGAATAGTAGCCAAAACGGTCATAGGTTCAACTCTTATTTGGAGTGTTAGGACGTATTCTTCCAGCGGCCTGTGTCACTTACTGAAAAATCATCACATTTTAAAATTAGGAGGTTAAAAGAGGTGTCAAAAACTTGGCGCGAAAGACTCATTAACCTCGAGCTAATTTATGGACCAAACAATGTTTTGTTTAATACTGCCCTTTCCTGTGCTGTGTAATTACCAGTGAATACCCACGTGTCAGTGGGGAAAGGCTTTTTTAAAGAGGCTGGTCCGTCCCAAAAACTTTCTGAAGGCTAAGTTTCTGAAACAACCTCATCACTTAGTAGGCGAGTCGTTCCTGAACGGAAGTAGAACTCTCCATTACAAGTGAAACATTACGGCACGAAGGTAAGCGCCCTGTTGACCTTTCACTTTGTTTCCTTTCCTTTAAAGAGGCCTCCTGGTCTTTGAGGTTTATCACTAAGTTTACACGATTCTACATTTTGATTTGCAATAATTAGGGACTTTTTGTTTGAACGGGTAAGAGTAGGAAGAAGAAAACGGAATTTCCCGTCAGCATTTAGTTATTTCCAAAACGTTCATTTGGTTTTGTTGCTGACCACCACTTTAAGAAAAGGGTAAAACTTGAACTGGTTGAATTAACTTGGTTTGAAATTTTGTACTCGTGTATTTAATCTCGAACAAAACCTCGGTGCAGTGTCTCTGTGGGCTTTTCTATCTTATCTAAGCAGTAGATATGACTACATATTTACTCCAAGGGGTTTTCTGGTTCGTCCTATATAATATAGCTGGTGTTATTCAAATTTTTTATTTTTCATCTCGATTAACTAATGCACGGCAAGTTACGTAAGTAAGCCTGTTACGCTTAACTGAAAAGAAAAACCTCTGAATACAAAAGAGTGTCGAAATTTCTCCATTTCTATCTTAGAGCCTGAAACAGACTACTTCACTTCCATCCGTTATAAAATTCCTACAGCTCATGCGTTTTTTTACCCGTAGACAAAACACGCAACAACAACAACTTTAATAGCAGTACCAGTGCAGTGCAGTCTGAAGGGATAGGGAAGTCATCCACCGCGGAAGACTTTACAATCGTCGTAAACTATTTTTGATGATGATTATTATTTTTTTGGCACTCCAGTTGTAGCGTTAAAATCTTCCGGTTGAATTGCAGACCCCAATGAGAAAACATACTTTTCTGAATGTATTGGGATCAAAGTTCTGTTACAAAATATCACCCTGATTAGAGCGTTCCAGACGTGGGGGTAGCGAGAGGGCGAAAGAATCTTCTCCTCCCTCCCCTTCCTCCTCTCCCGCTCTTCCACTTTTTTTCTTTTTCTTCATTTTTAACTTTGACCCCCATTTTGCGTTGCTACGATGGGAAAAGGCTAAATAATGAAACATCGCGTTGTTTGAAAAAAAAATGATGTGTTTTTCAAGGCTCAATATAATCATTTTGTTTGATATAGTCTTTCAGATCCGATTCTAGGGGCCAATCTTTATCCTTTGGATATGTGCTTGGTGTCAAAGAGGTCTTGAGTGATATTATTTTTGTTTACCAGTAAAAATTAGTGAGCTTAGTTTCTTATAAATCTGTGAGCAAAGAGAAACTTTGTCATCGTTTCGTGCTAATTGAGAGATCAGTGCTTTCGAAGAAGGATATTTCTGATTTCTGTACAGCAAATTCAATCATCACTTGAGCTGTGCATTCCTCATTCGTACAAGATGACAGTGTAGGCTGTTTTGTCTACGTGCATACGTGTCTCATTTCCTTTTTTGGACGCACAACAAAGAAAATAGGAGACGTCTACTCGCAGGCTTTTGTGTCATTTCCATATCATTTGTGCCAGTGTAAATGATAATAAAGATGGCGTACGAAAGAGTGCCTGCTTTCAAAGGATTCTCATTGCGGATACTAAAAGCTTTAATTTTGAAGCAGTGCTGGATGACTGGATAGTCTGTTTGATAATATCAAGAATTTTCAAGTGTGCTGCAAAACAAGGATGAAAAAACGTTGAGAAAAATGACGAAAAAAACCAAAAAGGCGCTTTTTTAGCAGCTTTTCGGGTCACGGCTCAAAGACGCGAGCGTGAGTCTACCTGATTTTTCCGACTGATATTAAAAGGTCAGTATAAGTGTAGCGCGGTTGTTTTACCTCAGAGTGACTGCAAGAACGAGTTATATTACACGAGCAAGGAGCTCAACAATTGTTTCACCTCGCCACCTAAAGAGAAATGTAACTCACAAGTGTGGCGCTATTTATTTGCCTCATGGTTTCAAGAACGAGGCATGTTATGTGTGTGGCGCGCTTGTTTTGCCTCATGGCTTCACGAAAGAAGTATATTAGGTATATTACATATGTAGCGCACTTGTTTTGCCTCATCACTTCAAGAACAAGGTATGTTACATGACTGCGTAGCGCGCTTGTTTCGCCTCATTCCTTCAACAATTTGGTACAATAGGTACATTGCATTTGTAGCGCAATTATTTTGCCCTGTTGTTATATGATTAACACGCTTGTTTTGTCCTACTGTTTCCAGAACAAGGTATATTTCATAAGAGGCCCGTTTGTTTCGCTTCATGGCTCCAAGAACGAGGTATATTACGCGTCTGGCGCGCTTTTTTTGGCTCATGGCTTCAAGAATGTAGTATATTGTATGCGCACGCACGGCAGCATTTTCTACCTTATCTGATGCCAGTTTGTTGTATCTTTTCTAAAGAATGGTTTCAGTAGCGACAGACGGAAAATGAAAAGATTTAGCGTCCTGAAAAATAATCTCTTGTCTTAAACCACTTAGCGAAATGAATGGTTTTGTCCCAGACAGGCTCAGGGTCTGGAAGGCACTAAAGTCATACCCCTATCAAAACTTCCCATGCATAAGCAACCTCCCTCCCCCTCCCCCCGAGGCTCTGACGACAGGTTACCACTCGGAAGGTCGGCGTTTGTATAACTTTACGACACCAAATTCAATACCAGATATATATTTTTTGCAGGTTATACAACAGGATGAGAGATTTTATACTGGTTGGTCTGGTTTTTGCACTCCTGTATGTCACTGTGACAGCACAACATCAAACTGGCCATACTGAATACGTCATACTGTTTGACGCAGGCTCAAGTGGAACCCGTATGTCAATCTACCAGTTCCTGGACAGCGGACCATCCTTAAAACCCTCTGACGTGAAAGAGCTTGATCCTTCCACTAGCAAAATAAAACCTGGAATTTCAGAGCTTGCTGATGACCCTTCTCAAGTCGAAGCCTACATGATGCCACTATTGGAGTCAGCCAAGAAGACCATTCCACAAGACAAGCAATCGTCAACTCCAATATATTTGCTGGCTACAGCTGGAATGAGGCTCGTTCCTACAGATCAAGCAAACGCCATATTAGATGAAGTTAGAAAACTGTTTCATGATAAGGCTAAATGTCCATTTTTATTCCAAGAAGATGTAGATGCTAGAATCATTTCTGGAACGGCGGAAGGAATTTATTCTTGGATAACTGTTAATTTTTTGACGGGCATTTTTGGTACAAATCAAGCCTCGTATGGTAGTTTAGATTTGGGAGGGGCATCGCACCAAAATACTTGGGATTTGAAAAGGAAAAAGAACCCTGAAACGTTTTCCATTTCAGTGGCAGGAAAAAACTATAATGTTTTTGCTCGTAGTTATTTAGGTTATGGCCAGGATGAGGCAAGGGAACGCTATTTAGAATCCATTGTCAAAAAAAGTGATTGTACTGAAAATGAAGAATGTGCCGTCAAAAGTCCCTGTCATAATAAAGGTTTCAAGGAATCACTAGAATTTAATGGCCAGGCACGTGTTTTTGAAGGCACAGCTCAGGTTGAGATCTGTGAGGATATAATCCGTAATTTATTTTTTTGTCGTTCGTTAGATTTGAAGAAGTGTCCTTTCTCTAACCAACCTAGATTAAGAGGCAAATTCTATGGATTTTCAGCGTTATATTATGTTTTAACAGACATAAACGCTGTTTGTTCTGATTGCCAAAACAATTTCGTCAACCCAAAGAAAATCAAGAGGCACTTGAAATCATTTTGTGGCAAAAATTACGATGAGATAAACGAGAGCCCTTATAGCAAAAGCCAGTGTTTTGGTGCCAACTATATTTACGAGTTGTTAACCGAAGGCTACAGGCTGAAACCTGGGAAGAAAATCAGGATCGCTAATTCACTGAACGGGTTTGATCTGGATTGGAAAATGGGCGCTGTGCTCCATAACGCTAAAATCTTAGACATCAAGGGAATATCAAAAAAATAGCCTGCCAGGTTAGAAAAATTAAAGAAGGCTATCCATCTCGGGGAAGTATATTAGTTCCAAGTTATTCAGTTTTAGGTCTCTAGTTACAGTTAATGTATACAATGAGTTAATGAAACAGAAATAAACTTATTTAAGGGCACCCAGCATTGTTTCATCATTGCCCAGGATCGTGGAAAGATGAGGACAATGAAAAAATATATAAAACCGTTCTTCTGTTTACTTTTTTAAAACAGCAGTTTAAGGCCTTACTAGAATAGTTTTATGCTTTTTAATTATGCTGCCGAAGGACAAAATGAACAGATTACAGAGCGTATTCACTCACATGGCATGCATCTATGCTAATTTATACGAGCAAAAGAAAGTTTTTACATAAGAAAAGAGTTGAATTCCCACAGGGTTGTTTTGGAACACCAACATGGCCGCCGTGTTATTGTTTTGGAACACCAATATGGACGTCATGTGAATACGCTCTATTGAGTATAGTGAGTATCTTCTTTGATACGCAAACGCCCTTTTAACACTTTGGCGTAAACGGAAGGGTTCTTATTAACTTAAGGCACTTTCCATTCCGCTTCAGAACTGACCGGCTATACCATTCCCGTCGTAATACGAATTTCACTTTTAATCAAATCTATCCAGCAAGTTCAGTCAAATTCTAAATAGTATGCAAGAAGGAAATGGTCATTATGCGTTTCTGGGGGCACTTCCAACCTACCCATCCCCGGCCCTAAGGCAACTTTTTGCCCTAAGTGAGAAATAAGTGTTAATGTTGGCTTAGGGGAGGAGTAGGTGGGCAGTTTCCCAGAAACGTATAATGATTGGCCAAAGCATATTTCATTTTCATTTCAAATGGAAAGAACCCTTCGTTTTCTTGACCGAACTGAAACTTGATTTTATCTAGACAATGGACAAAATTTAAAAGGAAATCTTTGCCATTCACAGCAAGCGATAGCGAATGAGTTTTAGGGACAGCAAATGCAATTTTGCGACAACAAATACAGCTTAACGAATATTGAAACATTCGGACGACCATTTATTTCTTGTTTTCCCACGGTAGGTCATCTCATATTTCACTGGCTAGAGAAATGTTTCTTTGAAAACATGGCCTTTTTTACGTGGACATGTACGCATAAATTATGTCGTTTCTGTCCCATGATCTGCCGCCATGTAAGCAGTTCCATGGCAATGTTACAAAACCGTAAGTCACTGTTCCAGGTTTTAAGGGTGATATTCTGACCCTGGTCTTTCCCTAGCGATCCTCGGCCTGATTAACGCACACCATGATCGAATTTGAATGTAGCTCATTTAAAGAGGTCCAATTTCACTGCAGTTGGTGAGTATAGCTGAAAATATGGTTAAATTTAGGAACAAGTACAGCACCCTCAAATAATGTAAGTCCGAACTGAATCGTGTTTATTGTTTATGAACTTCTAATGCCCTGTTATACAGGACTTTTAATAAGCTGTTTGGCCCGGGGAGCCTGGGAATTAGCGGAGTTTTAACACGTGGCCAATGTTAAATTCCCTGCCAAGTCGCGGGGGTCGGGGGGCCGGAGTTTAAATTAACTGATGTATTAAACTCTCAATGAAAATGAAAGTTAAATCACATGAAATTTTATCTTTTTCTTTGACAAGTAAATGTCTTTAAATGGTTTGTTTACAGCGCCTTGCTTGCCGGCGAGAACATGAAGTTTTTTAAACCAAGAAACGTTTTCGTGGAAACGCTACCTCCAGTCGGGTGTGATATTTCAATTCATGCAGTTGCTAATGACGAGTACAAGAAACAGCCATGTTTTCCTTCCGATGTTTTACATATGTCGTCTTGGTGGGATGTACTCTTATTGCTAGCAATCTTATATTTATGCATATTACCCTTTACAGTAGAAAGGGTTTTGGCAAAGAACTTCCAGCAGTATACGAGAAAGGATCAAAGACGGATTCGTTAGGCGTGATTCAGAAGCAATTTGTTTACCTTGTACAAACGGAACAATGTCTTCCTTCACACCTTGCAGAATCGATTGATGTCGCTGAAAATTGCAATTGTGACATCATCGTGTTAAGCTTTCAAGCGAAGTGCAACAAATCAATAATTCCATCTCATACATCCTACATATTTTATCCACAAACTACTTGGGGATCAGGACGAAATGCGCTCTACTTTACGGCCTTAAACAGAAGACTACCCTACCGTTATTACATATTTTTAGATGATGACGTCACCTTTAGCTTTAATAAAATGACTCCGCCTGATTTGAGAAAAACTCAACCGCTACGAGTCGTGCAAGACTGGCTTTTAGAATATGAACCAGTCCTTGGTGTTTTTAGACTATGCAGTGCATCATGGTGCCGAGTGGACTTTAGAAAAACGAAGACAGTTGGGTGGAATTTACGACACATCACTAGTAATTCCAGTGGTTTGGTTCGAAGCTATTTTCCATGCTTTCCACCATAAGGCTGTCGCTCACATTTTGCCATACAACAACAAGTATGAAAAAGAAAGTTGGTGGGTGTCAGCTTTGCATATCATGGCCGTTCTTGGGTTGGAAACACCACTGAATTAGGTTTAGTTATACGTGATTGCTCGTTTGCATTAACTCAGTTCAATACTAAATATTTCATTTTTAAAAGGGTGCGCTTCGCCCTCTTGTGTCTCTTGAATAGTTCCCCATCTAGCCTTAATGGTCGATTATTATGTTTTTTCGTCCCAAAATCTTACATTGTTACGGTGCATGTAACTACATGTATCATAGAACAGGAGTTCTTTACAAAGCCTACTGGGCTTACTCTAGGACAAAATTGTTATACGTAATTTCACGAGCCGTTAGGCGAGTGAAATTTGAGACAATTTTGAAATATCACGAGTGGTATTTATGCCAAATATCACGTACAAATCATGCTATTATTTGCTTATACTACTACCCGAAAAAGGTTTGTAATTTTCACACGTAGGTATTTCAAATTAAGCTGAAATACCACTGCTCTAAGCCAATCAAATTGCAGTAATTTCTCATGTAGTAGTATAACACTTGTAATCAAATCTATCCAGCCAGTTCAGTCAAATTCTAAATATTATGCAAGAAGGAAATGGTCATTATACTTTTCTGAGGGACACTTCCCACCTACCCATCCCCTAAGCCAACTTTTTGCCCTAAGTGAGAAATAGGTGTTCATGTTGGCTTAGGGGAGGGGTAGGTAGTTTCCAGAAACGTATAATGATTGGCAAAAGCATATTTCATTTTCATTTCAAATGGAAAGAACCTTTAGTTTTCTTGACCGAGCTGAAACTTGATTTTTTTCTAGACAATGGCCAGAATTTAAAAGGAAATTTTTCCCATTCACAACAAGCAGTAGCGAATGAGTTTTAGCGACAGCGAATGCAATTTTGCGACAACGACTACAGCTTAACGAATATTGAAACATTCGGACGACCATTTATTTCTTGTTTTCCCATGGTAGGTCATCACATATTTCACTGGCTAGGGATTGAACTGTTTCTTTGAAAACATAGCCTTTTTTACGTGGACATGTACGCATAAATTATGTCGTTTCTGTCCCATGATCTGCCGCCATGTAAGCATGTAAGCAGTTCCATGGCAATGTTACAAAACCGTAAGTCACTGTTCCAGGTCTTAAGGGTGATATCCTGACCTTGGTTTTTCCCTAGCGATCCTCGGCCTGATTAACGCACACCTTGATCCAATTTGAATGTAGCTCATTTAAAGAGGTCCAATTTCACTGCAGTTGGTGAGTATAGCTGAAAATATGGTTGAATTTAGGAAAAAGCACAGCAATGGCAAATAATGTAAGTCCGAACTGAATCGTGTTTATTGTTTATGAACTACTAATGCCCCGATATACAGGACTTTTAATAAACTGTTTGGCCCGGGGAGCCTGGAAATTAGCGAAGTTTTAACACGCGGCCAATGTTAAATTCCCTGCCAAGTCGCGGGGGTCGGGGGACCGGAGTTTCGATTAACTGATGTATTATACTCTCAATGAAAATGAAAGTTAAATCACATGAAATTTTATCTTTTTCTTTGACAAGTAAATGTCTTTAAATGGTTTGTTTACAGTGCCTTGCTTGCCTGCGAGAACATGAAGTTTTTTAAACCAAGAAACGTTTTCGTGGAAACGCTGCCTCCAGTGGTGTGAAATTTCAATTCATGCAGTTGCTAATGACGAGTACAAGAAACAGCCATGTTTTCCTTCCGATGTTTTACATATGTCGTCTTGGTGGGATGTACTCTTATTGCTAGCAATCTTATATTTATGCACATTACCCTTTACAGTAGAAAGGGCTTTGGCAAAGAACTTCCAGCAGTATACAAGAAAGGATCGAAGGCGGATTCGTTAGGTGTGATTCAGAAGCAATTTTTTTTATCTTGTACAAACGGAACAATGTCTTCCTTCACACCTTGCAGAATCGATTGATGTAGCTCAAAATTGCAATTGTGACATCATCGTGTTAAGCTTTCAAGCGAAGTGCAACAAATCAATAATTCCATCTCATACATCATACATATTTTATCCACAAACTACTTGGGGATCAGGACGAAATGCGCTCTACTTTACGGCCTTAAACAGAAGACTACCCTACCGTTATTACATATTTTTAGATGATGACGTCACCTTTAGCTTCAATAAAATGACTCCGCCTGATTTGAGAAAAACTCAACCGCTACGAGTCGTGCAAGACTGGCTTTTAGAATATGAACCAGTGCTTGGTGTTTTAGACTATGCAGTGCATCATGGTGCCGAGTGGACTTTACAAAGAAGAAGACAGTTGTGTGGAATTCACGACACATCACTAGTGATGCCAGTGGTTTGGTTCGATGCTATTTTCCATGCTTTCCACCATAAGGCTGTCGCTCACATTTTGCCATACAACAACAAGTATGAAAAGGAAAGTTGGTGGCTGTCAGCTTTGCATATCATGGCCGTTCTTGGGTTGAAATTCCGCGGCCAAGCACTTCTGTTTGCAGCCGTGACTGCTAGAAACCCGAAACATCGCAAATATCCTCGTTCTGCTAAACTTTTTGATGAGAGATGGCGAAGCTTTATTGAGGAAATCCAACGTGAAGTGCCGACAGCTTATCAAAACTGCATCATATTCGAAGAGCATAAAGAAAACTTAGTTCAATATTCTTTGAACTCGTCAACTTACTGTATAAATGTCACCCGTCACCATCCAATTGTGCCATATGCATATTTAGCCCGTGAAAGCTCAAAGCACAAGGTAATCCTTGATTAATCTTCTTAATGAAACTGTTCTAAAAACTCAGTGAAATGAAAGCAGTTCATTAACGTGTTAGGAATGTAGCCACATCTCGGGTTGGAAACACCACTGAATTAGGTTTAGTTATACGTGATTGCTCGTTTGCATTAACTCAGTTCAATACTAAATATTTCATTTTTAAAAGGGTGCGCTTCGCCCTCTTGTGTCTCTTGAATAAGTTCCCCATCTAGCCTTAATGGTCGATTATTATGTTTTTTCGTCCCAAAATCTTACATTGTTACGGTGCATGTAACTACATGTATCATAGAACAGGAGTTCTTTACAAAGCCTACTGGGCTTACTCTAGGATGACCTCTGGCGGTGTTTATATAATGTATTTATTATTAATTACAATTTTTGGTCGACTTTCCGTCAGCCCGAATTGCGAGCAGTTTTAATTTTTTTTTTTTTATTGTGTATACTATGATAGCAAATTTTTAACAATATCAGAATACTGTTGGTGTATTTCCTTTGATGCAAACTCTTCTTGGTTGTTAAATTGTTTCTGTTTTACTTTTTTTCTTTCTCGTTCATTCAGTTTACCAAGCACCGAAATACATTAATGGCAGAAGACTGATTTTAATCAGTACAACACCACCGATGGAAATCGAGTATACCTACAGTATACTACTACATGATAAATTTCTGCAATTTGATTGGCTTAGAGCAGTGGTATTTCAGCTTAATTTGAAATACCTACATGTGAAAATTACAAACCTTTTGCTGGTAGTAGTATAAACAAATAATAGCATGATTTGTACGTGATATTTGGCATAAACACCACTTGTGATATTTCAAAATTGTCTCAAATTTCACTCGCCTAACGGCTCGTGAAATTATTTATAGCAATTTCGAAATATCACGAGTGGTATTTATGCCAAATATCACTACAAATCATGCTATTACCTATACTTATACTACTACATGAGAAATTTCTGTAATTTGATTGGCTTAGAGCAGTGGTATTTCAGCTTAATTTGAAATACCTACATGTTAAAATTACAAAATCTTTGTGGGTAGTAGTATAAACAAGTAACAGCGTGATTTGTACGTGATATTTGGCATAAATACCACTCGTGATATTTCGAAATTGTCCAAAATTTCACTCGCCGAACGGCCTCGTGAAATTACGTATAACAATTTGGAAACATCACTCGTGGTATTTATACCAAATATCACTACAAATCATGCTATTACCTATACTAATATTAGTTGTATTTATGTATTTCAAATTAATTAGACAACTTTTTAATTTAGTTTAATATTTACTTATCTTTATTCGTACCTGTGTGGACAATACCAACCGCCTAGTTTGAGAGCGTTTTACGAATCATGTAAGGACGAAAATATTGAACCAAGAACAAGGTTTAATCCTTATTTGTTCTCATAATTTTGGAGTGCAAGAGCTTTTAAAAATAACCTGATAGAAAGGCGTTGAATGAAAGAGGAAAATAAAGCGATTTGAAATGAACGTTTGCAAAGAAAGGTACGTTTTCATGGTAACACTTCGTTTGTGCGATGTTTTAATTTTTAATGACAAGTTACTAGAAACAACTTGAAGTTCTTAAAAGCATGTAATTTCTCAGTCACTCTCCTTGTGCCGTCTTGTTGCAGTGTTAGTAGGTTAGGGCCAGTGGCATAAATCTTAACGCAAGGCGTAAATTCTAAGAGGTATATCAGGAGTTTGATCAATAAAGTTATCATTATTTAGACGCTGTATCTGATTTCAAAATTTTCTTCCAAACCGTCCCTACATTTTTGTCTGAAATTTAGGGGAAATTTTCCGTCCGAACATTTTCGTAGTTGAAGCACAAAGGTTGTTAGAATTTCAACATATGGTGATTTGCATATATTCAAGGTTATCGAACGTCATCTCCCCGGAGGCTCATTGTTCCGCGGATGATACTCAGCTATACGTGAGTTTCAGGCCCGATGATGCTAACGCCCAGGATGAGGCCATTCGCGCAGTGGAGGATTGCATTAAAGATGTAAGGAACTGGCTTATTGAAGGACGGCTGTTACTCAATGATGATGAAACTGAATCTCTAGTTATTAGAACTCGTCAGCAGTTAAATAAATTAAATCCATCAGTACAGTATGTGGTCCTTGGTCGGCGACTAAAAGTCATGATCTCGAATACATTTACATACACATTTTTACTTCCAGACTAGATTATTGTAATAGCCTACTTTATGGCCTTCCCAAATATCATATAAGTAGACTACAACGAGTACAGAACGCTGCAGAACTTATTTAAGGGCACCCAACATTGTTTCATCATGTCTAAGGATCGTGGAAAGATGAGTACAGTGAAAAAAAATATATAAAACCGTTCCGGTGAGGCCTTAAACTGCTGTTTACCTTTTTAAAACAGCAGTTTAAGGCCTCACTAGAATAGTTTTATGTTTATTAATTATGCTGCTGAAGGACAACATGAACAGATTATAGAGCGTATTCACTCACGTGGCACGCATCTATGCTAATTTTTATAAAATGACAAAGATAGTACGCGCGCTCTGATTGGCCGAGAGGAGTGTTTGCATGAGAGTGTGTAAACATGGTTGTGGCGTCAAGATGTTTTGCTTTTCGCGCGCTAATCACGGTTGTGCCTAAATCATACCGTCCAAAAGGACAGCGGAGGAGTACTATGAACGAGTTTCCGATTCGGGCCGACTTCGGAAATTCTCGAAAACATCCAATATGGCGGCTCAATCGTGGTGAAAACTGACAGCCAAAGGAACCGTTTTATCGCCAGAGAAGCGTGATTTACGATTTTGTTGACGCAGTTTGCGTTTATTTTGAGTTTTGAAGTGTTTCTCGGTCCTGTATAGTAAGCAATCCTTTTATAAATGTCTTATCAATTTGTCTTGTTTCGCTGGCCGGTATTACCGAAGAAAATAGTACCGTCCAACGGGACATTCTAAATTATAGCAACATTTGTTGGCATGTACATCACCTCTAGCTTTCATCAGGGAACTTAAGAACCACGACGACGACTTTGTCGACGACGACCGGAAGTGAGATACCGTGCACTGTGCAAGCGCAGTTAACAAATTTCGTCGTCGTGGTGTCGTCGACGACGCCAAACACAGTGGAATCACGTCGTCTTGCAGTCCACAAGCTTCGGCAGGTATACCTCCCTGTTTTTAAGCGATTTTTCAAGGGCTTTGTATTTTTTCACCTCGTAAATCTAGGTATCCTTTCTTTTTTCTCCTAACAAGCGATGTTGATTGAAAATTTGACTGATGAATTGTGTTTACTTCGAAGACAACACTGAGCCTTGCAGGCCGAGCGAGCGAACTCGTAAGTGACAAATTTATTTGTACGTATTTAGGTCAGGCAAATCATATATCTTTAATACTTTATATGGAAAACAGCTATCGCATCGGAATGTCTCTTTTTCCAAATCTAAACTCTCACAGACACTCGGACTCGGTCATGTTATTCAGGTTGAAAGTTGAATAACCTTCGTACGAAAAGCAGAGATTTTTCCATTCGAAAAGGTCAGACAACACTAAAAATTCTTCATCGTCAATGAAAGTAGACCTACGGCTTATAAAATAAGATCTTGCATCGTCTTAAAAGACGCCTTTGCGAAAAAACTTTGTTGCGAACGAACATCACAGTTGTACTACTTCTACATGTTTGTTTACATTCAGTGTCGTCGTCGTCGACCTACCGATCGACTGCATCTTAAGTTTCCTTTTTCCCGCCGAAACTGACGTTCTCGTTCCAGTCCTTTCCCAGTCAACAGACGTCGTCGTCGTCGTCGTGAACTTCGTCGTGGTTCTTAAGTTATCTATTGTCCAACTTGTAAAAAAACCTCGGTTCAACGATAAATTTTTTCTTCGTCGGGTTCTTTGTTCGAATTTGAAAAGAACATGTTTGAGTTTTTTTTAGAAAAAAGCATCCGCCCTGCAATACAAATTTGCAATGGCGAATTATATGACTGATTTTGGGAATGAGGAAAACAGCCGGCGAAGCAGCCGAGTTATGCGTGGTCACCAAATTGATAGGCCAAATGTCATGGCATTTGAAGCAACTGGCGAAGCATTTTTGTTGACGGAGTGTATTAAAAAATGCGCTGTCCAGGGGCGTGCTTAAGAGAAACTGTCAAACTAACTTGAAAACATTTGTGGCCGAGAGTTTATTCTGTCTTCAGTGAGACGTTGCCTTACAGGCCGTGATTTTACACGAAAAAAGGTGAGACATTAATATGTATGACCCCCTCATCATGGTTATGATAAATTCTACTTCTATGAACCTAGTCAACGTCTTGGTCCGTTTTAATCAACTGCTATGATATTTTTGCTCCTTCCCACATATCCAATATCGACATCCACCGTTACATCTTCCTTCTCAGAAAAAAAAAAAAATTCAGCGGTTTCGAAAACACTTTTTTTTTTCATTTCATCTGCGTTGTTGTAAAAAAGAAAATCTTTGATGATTTTCTCCTTATCCTGTAAATACAACAATTATATGACCTACAACTGACCGAATTCCGCATTCTTTAATTTTCAAAAGAATGCAAATCAAGTGAATAGCAGACAATATTCGTCCATTCTCTTTTGTATTGACAAATTGGAACAAAGAACCTGACAAGGGAAAATTTATCGTTGAGGCGAGTTTTTTCACAAGTTGGACAATAAGAAAGTGAAAAATACGCACGGGCGCACGTGCAAGAAAACAAAAGTATATATCTATCTATATATCTCTCTATATGAAAACCTTTTTGAAAACAGGTGTATATATATATATATATATATATATGTAAATTACTATTTATGATAAGAGGAATGCTTTCAGCTTACAACAAAAGGAAGCGGTACTTGTTACATTTCGAATTTCAAAACTAAGAGAGTTAAAACATTTAGGACCTTGGAAACTGATGGAGAACTTTCTTATATTAGTCCTGCATTGTGGCAAATAAAAATGCTCCGAACTTCTAGTGCCATAAGAATGCACGTGGCGTGTCACCAAAAACATGTTATTGAAGCTATAAGGAAGTAAGCCAGATCTGTTTTGATACATAAATTTTCGTATTTGAAGTTTGTAGATACTCTCAAGATTCAGAATTTTTAAATTTTTAAATAAGGGGTCAGTGTGAACATCGAAAGCACTCCTCGACATTATTCTTACGACCCGTTTTTGAAGTGTGATTAATCTTCTGAGGTTTGATGGGTAGGTCGATGCCCAGACGCTCACGCAGTAGAATAAGTATGGGTAGATAAGGCTAAAATAAAGCATCCGTAAGGAGGAATTATTAAGGCAAAAACTTGATTTATAAATTATACCTATGGCTTTAGACACTTTCCGAGCAACATTATGTATATGTGATTTCCATGTTAAGTGTTCATCCAAAATTACACCAAGAAGAGTGGCTTCCTTAACACGATCAATCGAATAATTACTAATATTAAAAGCTAGATCAAGTGTTTGCCTGTTTTGTCTCGGTCTGAATATGATAAAATTAGATTTCTTAACATTAATAGATAGCTTATTTGTATAAAACCAACACGTTATCTTTTTCAATTCTAAATTTGCAACTTCCATAAGATAGGAAGCATCAGTATGCGAGTAGAAGATATTCGTGTTTCTGTCCCATGATCGACCGCCAAGTAGGCATGTAAGCAAATCCATGGCACTGTTACAAAACCGTAAGTCACTGTTCCAGGTCTTAAGGGCGATATCCTGACCCTGGTCTTTCCCTAGTGATCCTCGGCCTGATTAACGCACACCATGATCGAATTTGAATGTAGCCCATTTAAAGAGGTCCAATTTCACTGCAGTTGGTGAGCATAGTTGAAAATATGGTTGAATTTAGGAACAAGTACAGCACCGGCAAATAATGTAAGTCGAACTGAATCGCGTATTGTTTATGAACTACTAATGCCCCGTTCTGGATCGTTTTCACTGTCACGCAACAAATAATTAAATTGGAAACCGTCCAGTGGAAGAAGCCAAGAAAATGACATGCTATAAAAGACTAATATATAAACAATTTATCCAAGTCTCAGGTCTTTGTGGCCTACAGTTTCTAAGTTATTTGCCGAAACGTTTCACGCACCTTTGTAGAGCTTTGTATAGCATTCCTATTTTGGTGTCACGCACTGTGAAAACTCGGAAGTTCAAATTGCTGTATTTTCCAAATGAAACATGCTACGGAAATGGAAACCTGTACAAAGACTTACTTTTTGTTTATCTTCAACCTAGTGTAAATAAGAATTCGTGAAACCTCGCTATTTTGACTTAACAATTTGTTGACGTCACGGTGAAAACCATCTATAGGGGACAGTTTTAACACGCGGCCAATGTTCAATTCCCTGCCAAGTCGCGGGGGTCGGGGGGCCGGAGTTTCAATTAACTGATGTATTATACTCTCAATGAAAATGAAAGTTAAATCACATGAAATTTTATCTTTTACTTTGACAAGTAATGTCTTTAAATGGTTTGTTTACAGTGCCTTGCTTGCGTGCGAGAACGTGAAGTTTTTTTTAAACCAAAAAAAGTTGTCGTGGAAACGCTGCCTCCAGTGGTGTGATATTTCAATTCATGCAGTTGCTAACGACGAGTACAAGAAACAGCCATGTCTTCCTTCCCACGTTTTACATATGTCGTCTTGGTGGGATGTACTCTTATTGCTAGCAGTCTTATATATATGCAGGGTTTTAGCAAAGAACTTCCAGCAGTATACGAGAAAGGATCGAAGGTGGATTCGTTAGGCGTCATTCAGAAGCATTTTGTTTACCTTGTACAAACGGAACAATGTCTTCCTTCACACCTTGCAGAATCGATTGATGTCGCTGAAAATTGCAGTTGTGATATCATAGTGTTAAGCTTTCAAGCAAAGTGCAACAAATCAATAATTCCATCTCATACATCCTACATATTTTATCCACAAACTACTTGGGGATCAGGAAGAAATACGCTCTACTTTACGGCCTTAAACAGAAGACTACCCTACCGCTATTACATATTTTTAGATGATGACGTCACCTTTAGCTTCAATAAAATGACTCCGCCTGATTTGAGAAAAACTCAACCGCTACGAGTCGTGCAAGACTGGCTTTTAGAATATGAACCAGTGCTTGGTGTTTTAGACTATGCAGTGCATCATGGTGCCGAGTGGACTTTACAAAGAAGAAGACAGTTGTGTGGAATTCACGACACATCACTAGTGATGCCAGTGGTTTGGTTCGATGCTATTTTCCATGCTTTCCACCATAAGGCTGTCGCTCACATTTTGCCATACAACAACAAGTATGAAAAGGAAAGTTGGTGGCTGTCAGCTTTGCATATCATGGCCGTTCTTGGGTTGAAATTCCGCGGCCAAGCACTTCTGTTTGCAGCCGTGACTGCTAGAAACCCGAAACATCGCAAATATCCTCGTTCTGCTAAACTTTTTGATGAGAGATGGCGAAGCTTTATTGAGGAAATCCAACGTGAAGTGCCGACAGCTTATCAAAACTGCATCATATTCGAAGAGCATAAAGAAAACTTAGTTCAATATTCTTTGAACTCGTCAACTTACTGTATAAATGTCACCCGTCACCATCCAATTGTGCCATATGCATATTTAGCCCGTGAAAGCTCAAAGCACAAGGTAATCCTTGATTAATCTTCTTAATGAAACTGTTCTAAAAACTCAGTGAAATGAAAGCAGTTCATTAACGTGTTAGGAATGTAGCCACATCTCGGGTTGGAAACACCACTGAATTAGGTTTAGTTATACGTGATTGCTCGTTTGCATTAACTCAGTTCAATACTAAATATTTCATTTTTTTCATGAATAAGTTCCCCATCTAGCCTTAATGGTCGATTATTATGTTTTTTCGTCCCAAAATCTTACATTGTTACGGTGCATGTAACTACATGTATCATAGAACAGGAGTTCTTTACAAAGCCTACTGGGCTTACTCTAGGATGACCTCTGGCGGTGTTTATATAATGTATTTATTATTAATTACAATTTTTGGTCGACTTTCCGTCAGCCCGAATTGCAAGCAGTTTTAATTTTTTTTTTATTGTGTATACTATGATAGCAAATTTTTAACAATATCAGAATACTGTTAGTGTATTTCCTTTGATGCAAACTCTTCTTGGTTGTTAAAGTGTTTCTGTTTTATTTTTTTTCTTTCTCGTTCATTCAGTTTACCAAGCACCGAAATACATTAATGGCAGAAGACTGATTTTAATCAGTACAACACCACCGATGGAAATCGAGTATACCTACAGTATACTACTACATGATAAATTTCTGCAATTTGATTGGCTTAGAGCAGTGGTATTTCAGCTTAATTTGAAATACCTACATGTGAAAATTACAAACCTTTTGCTGGTAGTAGTATAAACAAATAATAGCATGATTTGTATGTGATATTTGGCATAAACACCACTTGTGATATTTCAAAATTGAAAAAATCAAATTTCACTCGCCTAACGGCTCGTGAAATTATTTATAGCAATTTCGAAATATCACGAGTGGTATTTATGCCAAATATCACTACAAATCATGCTATTACCTATACTTATACTACTACATGAGAAATTTCTGTAATTTGATTGGCTTAGAGCAGTGGTATTTTAGCTTAATTTGAAATACCTACATGTTAAAATTACAAAATCTTTGTGGGTAGTAGTATAAACAAGTAACAGCGTGATTTGTACGTGATATTTGGCATAAATACCACTCGTGATATTTCGAAATTGTCCAAAATTTCACTCGCCGAACGGCCTCGTGAAATTACGTATAACAATTTGGAAACATCACTCGTGGTATTTATACCAAATATCACTACAAATCATGCTATTACCTACACTAATATTAGTTGTATTTATGTATTTCAAATTAATTAGACAACTTTTTAATTTAGTTTAATATTTACTTATCTTTATTCGTACCTGTGTGGACAATACCAACCGCCTAGTTTGAGAGCGTTTTACGAATCATGTAAGGACGAAAATATTGAACCAAGAACAAGGTTTAATCTTTATTTGTTCTCATAATTTTGGTTGCAAGAGCTTTTAAAAATAACCTGATAGAAAGGCGTTGAATGAAAGAGGAAAATAAAGCGATTTGAAATGAACGTTTGCAAAGAAAGGTACGTTTTCATGGTAACACTTCGTTTGTGCGATGTTTTAATTTTTAATTACAAGTTACTAGAAACAACTTGAAGTTCTTAAAAGCATGTAATTTCTCAGTCACTCTCCTTGTGCCGTCTTGTTGCAGTGTTAGTAGGTTAGGGCCAGTGGCATAAATCTTAACGCAAGGCGTAAATTCTAAGAGGTATATCAGGAGTTTGATCAATAAAGTTATCAATATTTAGACGCTGTATCTGATTCCGAAATTTTCTTCCAAACCGTCCCTATATTTTTGTCTGAAATTTAGAGGAAATTTTCCGCCCGAACATTTTCGTAGTTGAAGCACATAGGTTTTTAGAATTTCAACATATTGTGATTTGCATACAGCTATTTCGAGAAAGGTTGTCGGAAAAAGTGCACGCGACAATCCCGAAAGGTATTGTGGGTGGTTTTTAGTTCACTGTTTTTCAAAGAAATTTCAAACAATGGCAAGAGAGGCCATGGACGGATGTTTGCGAGTGCTAAAGGAAAGCAATAAAAGTAGGTTCGACAGCTACAGTATCAGGAACAATGTATTGAGCATATCCCATATTACCTTTCGGGATTGTCGCGTGCACAGTTTTTCCGACAACCTTTCTAGAAATAGCTGTATATTCAAGGTTATCGAACGTCATCTCCCCGGAGGCTCATTGTCACGCGGATGATACCCAGCTATACGTGAGTTTCAAGCCCGATGATGCTAACGCCGAGGATGAGGCCGTTCGCGCAATGGAGGATTGCATTAAAGATGTAACGAACTGGCTTATTGAAGGACGGCTGTTACTCGATGATAAAACTGAATTTCTAGTTATTAGAACTCGTCAGCAGTAAAATAAATTAAATCCATCAGTACATTATGTGGTCCTTGGTCCGCGACTAAAAGTCATGATCTTGAATATCTTACCTGAATCAAACTGTAACGACCTGAAATACTCCCTGAAGATAGCTTTTATGTTCCTCTCGATAATCCTGAAGTTTCAAGTTCCAGACATAAATATTTTGCTTGTAATTCGAAAAAAGGCCACCGTTTTCGATGGTCCTTGGTCCGCGAATGTGCTCCTTGTTCCGCGACAAGGGTAAGCAGCGCGAAAAAAACGTAAAAATGTTATAGTTTCCACGCGAAAACGTGATTTTCACAATATTTCATGTATTTTTTTCTTTTCTTGATGCAATTAAGCTAAACTTTTTTTCGGAAGATGTTGTGAGTATAAAATAATCTGCTTTTCTTTCAAAGACTTCAGACAACAGTCAGTCCTCGTTTTCAGCGCGGCCGAAAATAATTACTTAAAACTTCGTATGTATTCGACGTATTAAAAAAAGAGAACTTGTAGGCATGTATAGGGACGATTTTCAATACGTTCTTCTAAAACAAAGGCCGTCGCTTTTTATTTTGCGAAGTTTTATTCAACCAAGGTCATAGGTCGCGGACCTACGACGAAATATTTTATCATTTTCAGAAAAGTCGCGGACCGAGGGCATCGCGGACTTTCGCGAACCAAGGAGTTGTTAACCAAAGGCTACAGGCTGAAACTTAGGAAGAGAATCAGGATCGCTAATTTACTGAACGGGTTTGATCTGGATTGGAAAATGGGCGCTGTGCTCCATAACGCTAAAATCTTAGACATCAAAGGAATATCAAAAAAATAGCCTGCTAGGTTAGAAAAATTAAAGAAGGCTATCCATTGCGGGGGAGTATGTTAGTTCCAAGTTAATCAGTTTTAGGTCTCTAGTTACAGTTAATGTATACAATGAGTTAATGAAACAGAAATAAACTTATTTAAGGGCACTTAACATTGTTTCATCATGTCCCAGGATCGTGGAAAGATGAGTACAGTGAAAAAATATATATAAAACCGTTCCGGTGAGGCCTTAAACTGCTGTTTACTTTTTCTAAAACAGCAGTTTAAGGCCTCACTAGAATAGTTTTATGCTTTTTAATTATGCTGCCGAAGGACAAAATGAACAGATTACAGTGCGTGTTCACTCACGTGGCATGCATGCATCTATGCTAATTTATACGTCGAGCAAAAGAAAGTTTTTACATAAGAAAAGAGTTAAATTCCCACAGGGTTGTCTTGGTACACCAAAATGGCCGCCGTTTCATTGTTTTGGAACACCAAAATGCCGCCGTGACGTCATGTGAATACGCTCTATTGAGTATAGTGCGTATCTTCTGTGATACGCAAACGCCTTTTTAACACTTCGGCGAAAACGGAAGGGTGCTTATTAACTTAGGGTGCTTTCCATTCCGCTTCAGAACTGACCAGCTAGAACATTCCCGCCGTAATACGAATTTCACTTTTAATCAAATCTATTCAGCTAGTTCAGTCAAATTCTAAATAGTATGCAAGAAGGAAATGGTCATTATACGTTTCTGGGCACACTTCCCACCTACCCATCCCCTAAGCCAACTTTTTGCTCTAAGTGAAAAATAAGTGTTAATGTTGGCTTAGGGGAGGGGTAAGTAGCCAGTTTCCCAGAAAAGTTTAATGATTGGCCAAAGCATATTTCATTTTCATTTCAAATGGAAAGAACCTTTAGATGTCTTGACCGAACTGAAACTTGATTTTTTCTAGACAATGGACAAAATTTAAAAGGAAATCTTTGCCATTCACAACAAGAGGTAGCGAATGAGTTTTAGCGACAGCAAATGCAATTTTGCGACAACGAATACAACTTAGCGGATATTGAAACATTCGGACGATCATTTATTTCTTGATTCCCCACGGTAGGAAGGTCATTTCATATTCCACTCGTTAGAGATTGAACTGTTTCTTTGAAAACATGACCTTTTTTTACGTGGACATGTACGCATAAATTATGTCGTTTCTGTCCCGTGATCTGCCGCCAGGTAAGCATGTAAGCAGTTCCATGGCAATGTTACAAAACCGTAAGTCACTGTTCCAGGTCTTAAGGGTGATATTCTGACCCTGGTCTTCCCCTAGCGATCCTCGGCCTGATTAACGCACACCATGATCGAATTTGAATGTAGCTCATTTAAAGAGGTCCAACTTCACTGCAGTTGGTGAGTATAGCTGAAAATATGGCTGAATTGAGGAACAAGTACAGCACCCTCAAATAATGTAAGTCCGAACTGAATCGTGTTTATTTTTTATGAACTACTAATGCCCCGTTGTACAGGACTTTTAATAAGCTGTTTGGCCCGGGGAGCCTGGAAATTAGTTGAGTTTTAACACGCGGCCAATGTTAAATTCCCTGCAAAGTCGTGGGGTCGGGGGGCCGGAGTTTCAATTAACTGATCTATTATACTCTCAATGAAAATGAAAGTTAAATCACATGAAATTTTATCTTTTTCTTTGACAAGTAAATGTCTTTAAATGGTTTGTTTACAGCGCCTTGCTTGCCTGCGAGAACATGAAGTTTTNTTGGCTTAGGGGAGGGGTAAGTAGCCAGTTTCCCAGAAAAGTTTAATGATTGGCCAAAGCATATTTCATTTTCATTTCAAATGGAAAGAACCTTTAGATGTCTTGACCGAACTGAAACTTGATTTTTTCTAGACAATGGACAAAATTTAAAAGGAAATCTTTGCCATTCACAACAAGAGGTAGCGAATGAGTTTTAGCGACAGCAAATGCAATTTTGCGACAACGAATACAACTTAGCGGATATTGAAACATTCGGACGATCATTTATTTCTTGATTCCCCACGGTAGGAAGGTCATTTCATATTCCACTCGTTAGAGATTGAACTGTTTCTTTGAAAACATGACCTTTTTTTACGTGGACATGTACGCATAAATTATGTCGTTTCTGTCCCGTGATCTGCCGCCAGGTAAGCATGTAAGCAGTTCCATGGCAATGTTACAAAACCGTAAGTCACTGTTCCAGGTCTTAAGGGTGATATTCTGACCCTGGTCTTCCCCTAGCGATCCTCGGCCTGATTAACGCACACCATGATCGAATTTGAATGTAGCTCATTTAAAGAGGTCCAACTTCACTGCAGTTGGTGAGTATAGCTGAAAATATGGCTGAATTGAGGAACAAGTACAGCACCCTCAAATAATGTAAGTCCGAACTGAATCGTGTTTATTTTTTATGAACTACTAATGCCCCGTTGTACAGGACTTTTAATAAGCTGTTTGGCCCGGGGAGCCTGGAAATTAGTTGAGTTTTAACACGCGGCCAATGTTAAATTCCCTGCAAAGTCGTGGGGTCGGGGGGCCGGAGTTTCAATTAACTGATCTATTATACTCTCAATGAAAATGAAAGTTAAATCACATGAAATTTTATCTTTTTCTTTGACAAGTAAATGTCTTTAAATGGTTTGTTTACAGCGCCTTGCTTGCCTGCGAGAACATGAAGTTTTTTAAACCAAGAAACGTTTTCGTGGAAACACTGCCTCTAGTGGTGTGAAATTTCAATTCATGCAGTTGCTAATGACGAGTACAAGAAACAGCCATGTTTTCCTTCCGATATTTTACATATGTCGTCTTGGTGGGATGTACTCTTATTGCGAGCAATCTTATATATATGCACATTACCCTTTACAGTAGAAAGGGTTTTGGCAAAGAACTTCCAGCAGTATACGAGAAAGGATCAAAGGCGGATTCGTTCGGTGTGATTCAGAAGCAATTTGTTTACCTTGTACAAACGGAACAATGTCTTCCTTCACACCTTGCAGAATCGATTGATGTCGCTGAAAATTGCAATTGTGACATCATAGTGTTAAGCTTTCAAGCGAAGTGCAACAAATCAATAATTCCATCTCATACATCCTACATATTTTATCCACAAACTACTTGGGGATCAGGAAGAAATGCACTCTACTTTACGGCCTTAAACAGAAGACTACCCTACCGTTATTACATATTTTTAGATGATGACGTCACCTTTAGCTTTAATAAAATGACTCCCCCTGCTTTGAGAAAAACTCAACCGCTACGAGTCGTGCAAGACTGGCTGTTAGAATATGAACCAGTGCTTGGTGTCTTAGACTATGCGGTGCATCATGGTGCCGAGTGGACTTTACAAAAAAGAAGACAGTTGTGTGGAATTCAAGACTCATCACTAGTAATTCCAGTGGTTTGGTTCGATGCTCTTTTCCACGCTTTCCACCATCAGGCTGTCGCTCACATTTTGCCATACAACAACAAGTATGAAAAGGAAAGTTGGTGGGTGTCAGCTTTGCATATCATGGCCGTTCTTGGGTTGAAATTCCGCGGCCAAGCACTTCTGTTTGCAGCCGTGACTGCTAGAAACCCGAAACATCGCGAATATCCTCGTTCTACTGAACATTTTAATGCGAGATGGCGAAGCTTTATTGAGGAAATCCAACGTGAAGCGCCCACAGCTTATCGAAACTGCATCGTTTTCGAATAGCATAAAGAAAACGTAGCTCAATACACTTTGAAATCGTCAACTTACTGTATAAATGCCACCCGTCACTATCCAGTTGTTCCATATGCATATTTAGACCGTGAAAGCTTAAAGCACAAGGTCATCCTCGATTAATCTTCTTAACGAAACTGTCCTAAAAACTCAGTGAAATAAAAGCAGTTCATTAACGTGCTAGGAATATAGCCACATCTCGGAGAGGAAACACGACTGAATTAGGTTTAGTTATACGTGATCGCGCGCTTGCATTAACTCAGTTCAATACTAAATATTTCATTTTTAAAAGGGTGTGCTTCGCTCTCTTGAGTGTCTTGAATGAGTTCCCCATCTAGCCTTAATGGTCGATTTTTAATGTTTATTCGTCCCAAAATCTTACATTGTTACAGTGCATGTAACTACATGTATCATAGAACAGGAGTTCTTTACAAAGCCTACTGGGATTACTCTAGGATGACCTCTGGCGGTGTTTATACAAT